CACTGGGCACTGCAGCTCCCGGCACGATCGTGCCACCCGCTCACACCGCGGGCCCCAGAACGGCTGGGGGGGGGGGAGAGAAAAAAGAAAGCCCGGGGCAGGGGTTGGAGGAAGGGAGAGAGGGGGGAGGATGGGGGTCAGGACCAGGGAACGCTTGAGCCTCCAGTCTCCCCAGGTCGTACCAATCCTCTCCCCCTTCCACTGGATGCCCCACTATGCACATACGCCTTGCCTTCCCCAAGAAGCCACGCCTCCAAGCCCCAGCCTCAACCTTCCCAGGACTTCCAGGTAATATCAGCATTTCCCAGACCCATTTCCCTTGCGCCTCTTCTCCCCTAAAGGCACGCCCGCCCACCAGGCCACAGTCCCACTCCCTCCCGGAGACCCCGATGTGACCAGCCACCCCCGCTTACCGAGACACAATGGCAGGTGAAGGTCAGTGCACCCCCAGAGCCTGGGCCAGGACGGCACTGGCCTCCATGCTGGCAGGGCTGGGACTCGCAGGGAGACAGGACGGTCTGACAGCGGGGACCTGGGCAAGCAGGAGCCCTGGATCAGCCACGATGGGGGAACACAGGCCGGAGCCTAGGTCAGCCCCTGGCCCACCCTTACCTGCGAAGCCGGGTCGGCAAAGGCAGCGGAAGCCCCCACCGGGATCCTGCAGGCAGTCCCGGGTGTGTGCTGCGTGGCAGGCGCCCGGGCGACACTCATTGATATCGGCCTCACAGCGCAGGCCCGTGTATCCTGGGGGGCAGGTACAGCGGAAGCCGCCCACCAGGTCCACACAGGTACCATTGTGCAAGCACCTCGGACCTGGGTCCTGGGGCGGGCCTGGGCCGCAGTCGTCCTCATTAATCTCACAGAGAGCCCCTGGGGGAAGGAAGATCAGGGGAGGAGTCAGGGGCGGACAGAGACCCGCCTCCCAGCCTGCCCCCAACCCTGGCCCTGGCATACCCAGCGTCCCAGGAGGACAGGAGCAGAGGTATCGGGCCACAAGGTCAATGCAGAAGCCCCCATGCTGGCAGGGCTCCGAGGCACACTCATCCACGTCATCCTCACAGTTGTCACCAGCGTAGCCGGCTGGACACTGTGGTGAGGGCGAGACAGGGACCCACTCAGCCCCGAGGGACACAGACACTCCCCGTGGAGACAGAAATCCCAGCACAAAAAGACACACACAGTCGCCCAAAACACAGAGACATGCCCAGGGTGCAGAAAACACACACCCAGACACAGAGGACCCAGACACACCCAGTGCAGGTGGACACACTCCTACAGACACACAGCAGAAACACCCAGATACCCAGATCTACCCAAGACACACAACCAGGAACGCACACTCAGGCACCTGCATGTGCCGTCATGCCCGGAGAGACTCCATGCACAGACACACAGGTACGTCCAGGAACCAACCAAACATAGACACACACCCAGACAGACAGAAACACCCCCAGAGCTACCCAGGGTGACACCCACATACTCAGTCACAAAAGTAAAAGCCCAGACATGACGCCTTGGCTGGTGTTTCCCAGTGGTTAGAGCACTGGCCCATGCACCAAAGGGTCTCGGGTTCAATTCTAGTCAAGGGCACGTACTTGGGTTGCAGGTTCAGTCCCCGGCCCAGGTGGGGGTGCATGCGGGAGGCAACCAATCGATGTGTCTCTTGCACATTGATGTTTATCTCTCTTTTTCCCTCTCTCTCCTTCTCTCCCCCCCTCCCTCCCTCCTTCCCTCCATTCCACTTTCTTTAAAATTCAATGGAAAAATATCCTTGGGGGAGAGCTAACAAAAAACAAAACAAACAAACAGAAAACCAGGCTCGCCTAGAGAGACACCCACACCAGGCTACAGACACACAGAAACGTGTGCCCAGACACACCTACATGTGACTAGTTCCCCTCTCCCCTCCCTTGGGTGCCCCTTACCTCGCACACATAACCCCCCATGTAGCCTTGGCAAGTGCCCCCGTGCTGGCAGGGCTGGGCCAAGCAGGGGTCCACCTCTTGCTCACAGTGGCTGCCTGTGCGGCCCTCTGGGCACACGCAGTAGTGGGAGCTCTCCTTGTCCACACACTGCCCACCAGCCTGACACAGCTGCTCCAGCCGCACCCCTGCACAGAGAGGGGTGTCAGGCACACACTCCCCTCCCCCCCACCCGCAACACACACAGCACCACCTAACACCCCTGCTGCCACCAGTCACCAGGGTCCCACCACCTCCATCAGGTTGTCACACATCCCTCGACACTGCACAGTTGTCATCACTGACACACACGCGTTTGCTGCCCACACCAGCTCAGCCGGACGCTGCAGATGTCATCCCAGTGGTCTTATGGGGACAGACACACACACCCTCTAGTCATGTCACACAGTCACACTCAGCCGCACCCCCCGCCCCACCCATGTGTGCTGTCACAGCCCCATTGGGCTCACACTGGCAGGAAGTACATGCACACACGCCCTCCGGCTGCACACCCCAGCCACACGCTCCCGCTCACCCATCTGGGCCGCGGCCTGTCTGCAGGGCAGGCTTTGGATGTCACAGAGGCTGCCGCTCCACCCCGGAGGACAGAGGCAGTAGAAAGAGGCCCCCGTCTGGGCACAGCGACCCCTGTTCTGACAAGGCTCAAGGCTGCACCAGTCTACCAGTGTCTGCAGGGGAAGCCCACAGTATCAGCACGCAGAGACCCCCAGAAATCACTCCCCAGATTCTCCCCCAGGGTCCCTGCCAGGCCCCCTGCCCAGGATCCCATACAGGCCCCTCCCCAGGACACCCCTCCAGACACCTCCCCACAAAACCCACCTCCCAGTGACCCCACCCCACCTGACACTGAGCGCCAGTGAAGCCCTCTGGACAGGCGCAGATGAAGCCAGGGTAGGTGGCCGTGCAGACACCCCCGTGCAGACAGGGCCGGGAGAGGCAGGGGTTGGCCTCCTGCTGGCAGTGCGCGCCAGTGTAGCCAGGGCGGCATAGACAGCTGAACGAGTTCACTCCGTCCAAGCAGGTCCCACCATTGAAGCAGGAGCTGGAGGGAAAGCGAGGGTGGGTCAGGCCCCGCCCCCTTGGAGGCCCCGCCCTCCACCCTGGGCCCTGCCTAGCCTTGAGTGCCTCTACTTGGACCCCTACCCGCTACCTCCCGCCAGGAGAGACTGCAGCCCTGTCCTGTCCCTTAGCCCCAATTTACCAGGTACTTCAGCACTAAGGTGGGAACCACGTGGTGGCCCCACTCTGGTCTGGTCTCACCCCCTTAGGGACCAGCATCCCTAAGATGACCCTGCCCCTTCCCACACCGCCCCATCAGGCACCAGAGTCCTGAGTTGGGTGCCAACCTGAGGATCCGCCCTTCTTAGCCCCACTCCTGCTCAGGTCCCATGCCCCCCCCCCCGCATGCCAGGGTCCCTGAGCTCCCAGCAGAGGGTCCATCCACCTGGGGCTGCAGTCGGGTAGGTTCTGCTCACAGCGGAAGCCTCCATAGCCCGGGGGGCAGGTGCAGGTGAAGGAGGCCACGTGGTCGGTGCAGGTGCCTGGGCCACAGGGGCTGCTCAGACACTCGTCCACGTCGCGGGCACAGCGGGGGCCAGCAAAGCCTGGGAGGCAGGAGCAGGAAAAGGAGCCCACGTGGTCCTGACAGGAGCCACCATTCAGGCAGGGGTCTGTGGGCAGAAGGGAACGAGGTCTGGTCACTCACCCATCAGCCTTTACTGACCTGGCCAGGCCTGGCATAGCGGGAACTTGGAAGTAAGCCAGGCTTATTTGGTCAGAGCGATCAAATCGTCCCCTTTGTTGCCGCAGCCCCTCCCGTATCTGGAAACCTCACTTTGGTGGAAGAGGATGAGCTTGGCAGGACCTAGAGGGCCTTTTGAGCTGTTACACACATACTGTCAGGTGTGTCCGCTTAATCCCTTGACTCAGCACAGGGGGCTTCCTCCAGACCTGTACTGGCCAGTATAGTGGCCACTGGCCACATGTGGCTATTAAGACCTTGACCTGTGGCTGGCCCAGATTGAGATGTGTTGTAAGTGTAAAATATACACCAGATTTCGGATTCTGAAGACTTAATATATATTTAAAAAAAGAAGAAGAATGTAGCCCTGGCTCTGTTGCTCAGTGATTAGAGATTTGGCCCTTGGACCAATGGATCACAGGTTTGATCCCTGGCCCCAGACCAGGGCAAGTGTGGGAGGCAACCAACTGATGTCTCTCTCTCTCTCTCTCTCTCTCTCTCTCTCTCTCTCCCTTCCTTCCCTCCTCCTCCCTCCCTTCAATGGAAAAAAATATCCTCGAGTGAGGATTTAAAAATAAGAAGAATGTAAAATATCTCAACAATTTTCTATTGGTTATATGTTGAAATGATAATTTTACATATTAGGTTAAATGATATATATTATTAAATATGATATCACCTTTCTTGTTTTTTTAACTCTTTCAATGTGAGTACTCAAAAAATTGTAATTGCTCATGCGGCTTGCGTTGTCTGTTGGGCAGCGCTCCTGGAGAACTCACTAGGGGCCTCTGATCTCACGCTTTACACACAATCCCACTCGCTTGCTCCCAGAGACTGAGCGTCAGGCAGACCTGTGCTCCGATCCCAACGTATCCCTTACCTGCTCCGTGACCTTAGGCAAGTCACGTAACCTCTTTAGGTCTCAGTTCCAGGAGTAAAATGGAAAAAATAAGAGAACTACGAAGATGAAATTAAAGCACAATGCCCAGCACACAGTATAGGCTTAATGGACATGTTTCCTAGGGCAGCGCCCCCCGCAGGCTCCCCTGAACTCACTGGGGTCACAGTCATCGATGTCCTGGTCACAGGAAGAGCCGCTATACCCCCCGTGGCAGGTGCAACTAAAACTCCCCGCCAGGTTGGTGCAGGTCCCGTGGGGGCCGCACGGCGAGGGGCCAGCACACTCGTCTACATCCTGCTGACATCGAGGGCCTGGGGTGGGAAATAAGGTGACATCTGGGGTTAGAGGGTACAGGGTGGGGTCTGAGGGTGCCTGTCACACATGAAGAACCTAAAGGCTGAGAGGTGAAGGCAAGAAGGAGCTCTGCGCTCCCTGGCCTCCGGGCATTTTGCACACACTGTCCTAGGGCTGCCTTCTTGCTGCAGCGGGTGCTGACTGTATGCTCTGAGTTTTACTCCTCCAGGAAGCTGTCCCCAAATCCCAGCCTGAAACCGAGCTTCCCCAGCCACCTATCCCGTCTTCTTCTC